CATTTTAATGCCAGCGGGTCAGGATCTGGGGTACGTTTGCTATTGTTGTTCCCAGTCATGCTTTGTAACCCTGGTGACTTCCAAGTGTTTCTCAAGACTGGTCAGTGTGTATCTATGTAATTATCAAGGTGCAATATGTGCCTAACAGAGTTGTGTATTCTGCCTTCGATTACTCACCTTAGCTATGAATAAATAGAGGCATGTGCCCTTCCTCCTAAGTGACTTTTGTACACATGTGCCCTTGCTCCTAAGTGACTTTAAAATGTTGGTCTTATAATGCATGGCAATTCAAAAAGAAGAAGAAGAAAAGGAAAAGAGATGAGGACTAATAATTGTTTGGGATGAATCCTGTGCCAGACGTTTAATCTAGTTTCCCTCCCCATTTTCCAGTTCTGCACTTGCATGGCCAACTTCAGCTTCATTCTCCATTTTTGGACAAAAGAGCCTGACCCAGCCAACTAAGTCCTTTTCCTTTGTACATACTCACCATCTAGAAAAGATCCCAAAAGTCCAAAGGAGATGGAGATCATGCAAGGGAGCTGTTCTTTGGTTTACCATTTTTCCCCTTGTAGGAGAAACCAAATTTCCAGATGCTATGATTCCTTCACAGACACCAATGATAATATTGGAAATAATATGAACAAGTATTTGGGAAAAGGATTAAAAATGGGTGTCTTGAATGTCAGGAAATCCTGACAAGGAAACTCCTAGGTAGACGAGAACCTTTGCAGTTCTGAACTTATTCTGGGCAAAAAAAGGTGTTAATTTTTATGCAAACGATAGCATTTTTCTGCACAGAAAACTACATTTTTTGTGTGTGCAGAAAACCTATTGTGCAGAAAACAGATAATGCTGTTTCCTGTGCAGGAAATAAGATGTATTGTTTATTTATTTATTTGATTTATATCTCGTATTTCTCCTGAATGAGACAGTTTTCTGTTTCTGTTCCAAACTCACTTCCTAGAGCAGCCATGTCACTCTGCCTAATGGTAGGACCGGCCCTGGATGATGATCCAACTGTTCACCCATTTTGTAAACAGCATTCTAGAACATCTGTACAGTATGTCCCTTCTTTGTCACCTGGACTGATGGCAAAGGAGGCCGATTCTCTTCTTATGATCCACCTGTCATAATGTTGTGTAATAAACTGGATTGAGTTAAACCAAAAATGCTGGAGTAAGTCATCACTAGAACTAGGTAACGGAGAGATCCTAAAAAGCTTCTGTACTAAGTTTCTGGAAAAGGTAAGCTGGATTTTTTTTAAAAAAAAAATATCATGGATTCAATGAGGGAAAGGAAATGCTCATCTAAGGACAAGCATCTCTCACCAAAGCAGGGAATTTGGGGAAGAGAAAACAACTGCAGTTCATCACACAATAAAACACCATGCATGGCATCCTGTTAGGTATTGATGCCATTGTAAAGGCGAGTTGCAGACCATTGTGCAAATGGAGCCAAAAGCATGGCTGCTGCATCATGGGTCCCATTGCACAACGGGCATTGGATTGCTCTAGGACCCATTTGACAATAGGTACCAGAACACTATGGGGCACACTGAGCAATGGGAACTTCGATTGTGCAGCAGGGACCCCCAATACGCATTGTCACAGTTCATTAGAAGGGTTGCGTGAATGTCAGGAATGTAGTTACAACATCGTAAAGCTATGAACTTTCAACCTCTGATGCCGAATCTCAGCTTCAGCTGAATTAATTTCTATTAAGATAGTAATAAGTCACAGTTGGCCCCAATCCAGACTAGTAGTTCATTTGTTCCAAAGAAATTAAGAGCAGTTCAGTCACATCCAGTGTAATACTTTAGCATTAAATGGCTAATTTCTTTTGGCTTCTCCTGAACAGCTGAAAAATCTTCCTCATCCTCTGACCCCTGAACCCCTTTTCCCAAAAGAACATCAGCAGGAGATCATTAAAGGTCTATTTAGCATGGTGTAGTGGTTAGAGTGGGAATCTAGGACTGGGTAGACTCTGTCTGAAATCCCAAGATGGGCATGAATTTCCTTGGGTAATTGTAGGTTGGTCACCATCTTTTAGCTTCTTCTACCTTAAAGGGTTGTTGTGTGAATCAAATGCAGGGAGGGCTGTATATGTGATTTTGCATTTCTTGGAGAAGAGGCAAAGTGGAAATTTAACTACAGTGGGCCCTTGGTATCTCCTGGTGTTTTATTCCAGGATCCCTAGTGGATACCAAAATCCATGGATGCTCAAATCCCATTAAATACAATGGCAGAGTAAAATAGTGTCCCTTATATAAAATGGCAAAATCAAGGTTTGCATTTTGGGGTTTATATATTTCTGGACTATTTTCAAGCTATGGATAGTTGAATCTGTGGAGAAAGAATCCGTGGATATGGAAGGCCAATTGTAATAATACTTAATAGTTATTTATTTGCAACAATATGCTAAGTAAAAAGCCTTCTCCTCAATTTCTTCACTATGTTGATTGCAGGCAATTCAGACTAGTTCATTATTGCATCCCAAACACAACTGGTTAGAGAAAGTCTCCAAAGCCTTGAGAGTAATAAAGTTCTCTTAGGTTATTTCTCTGTGCGGCTGAGATTATCTTCTTCCTCATCCTGCCCACATAAAGATTTGTATAACTTGCAAACTTCCAGACACTTACGCTGGCACAAAAGTGATCCAATTTATTTTTAAAAGGTTACTTTACTGCTCCTTTTCTCATTTATATCTTGGGAACAAACAGGAAACCTGGAGAAAAACCTTCTTCCTTCAGCACCATGGACAGGGCACCTTTGGATTTGCAGTGTGTTGCATATGTTGCCCAAAATATGCCTCTCTCTTTCCCTTTATCTCAAACTGAGCAGGTGAAGTGCTGGAGAGGTTGTTCAAAAGCATTTCCTTCCCCACAAGTTGCTAGGCAGGAAGGGGAGAACAGCTCATGCAAGGGCCTAAAGCCACAGCAAAGCCTGAAGGAATGAAAAACAGGAAAATACGCACGTCATCTTGGGTTGGAAAAATAAAATACAGAACGGTAACGGATGTCAATTAGTACTCACCACCTACGCTCCTGTCCATCTGTCACTTGGCAAGTATTGTTGCAGGATTTATTATACCCAGCTCAAGCGCCTCTCCATGTCTCCAGCTACATACAAAAAGGAGCCCATCCTCAATGCAATTGCTTTGCAAGAGAGACTAGAGGGACAGAATCCTTTCCCCAGCTCTCCTTTCCTCCTTAGAAAGCTGGTTGATCAATGGTGGCAGATGATGGCTTCCACAGGCTGGCAGGGATGGAGAATCTACTCTGGGTTTTAGTGAGAACTTGAAAGGAGCCAACAAAAGCTCTAAAACCCACCTGCAATAGGTTCAGCACTTTGGAAAGCTCCTTGAAACTTTGGACAAAAACTCAGAGGAGGTTCACCATTGCAGTGGCATGGGAACCATCAGCCCTCATCGGCCATGGCAAAGAGGTGGTGATGGTGGTTCAAGAATGAGCTTTCTTTCAACCAGTTTGTTATTCTAAGAGAGATGTGGAGGAGGAATGGCAATTTCTTGGCAATGAGGGAATTATGTTGTTCAGGGAGGGGTATGAAAAGTGGTTATCTTAGGAACTGCAACACACACAGCTAAAAACAAGTCTCAAAGAAGTGTGGTCGAGACTGTGCTTAACTCTGGTAGAATGTACAGAGACACCAGTATGCATACATACCTGTAGGTCAGTGATTCCCAAACTCTGTCTTTCCAGGTGTTTGAACTTTGACTCCCAGAATCTCAAACCATTGGCCAAGATGGCTGAGGCTTCTGGGAGCTGAAGTCCAAAACACCTGGAGGACCAGAATTTGGGAATCACTGCTGTAGGTGATGGCTACCATTGCAGGTAGTGTGACTGGTAGCCATTCCAGTGGCCATTCTGGGGATGTTCCAGAAGCCATTCCAGTCAAAGTCACCTAGCAGGTTACTATGATCGAGGAGGAATTCAAACCCTGGTCTCCAGAGTTATAGTCAAACACTCAAACCACTACACCATGCTGGCTCTCATACGTCCTTATGTAAGTATCTAAACAGTACAATCACCAGCATAAGCAGGAGTTAGGCTGATGAAAGGACCCAGAAGAATTCCAGCCAATAATACACAAAAGCAGATATTCAAGCTTGCTTCTGCTTCAAGGAATGTATGCTGATCACATGCATTCATCTGTCCCAAATCTGTTGTTTGCAAGGGCTGGACTTCTGGATTTATCTCTCCCTTTCTTTTGGTACCACCACCAATTTATGAGTCCAAGTAAATCATGGAAAAGAGAGCGTGCTTGGGTTGTCTGCACTGCCAGAAGTGAGAGATGACCTGCTAAATATTTGCAGGAGACACTGCTAGGCAGATGCTAAAAGGTGGCTGGACTTTGGGGTGAAGTGGGATTCACGTGGCACATGGTATATGTCTTATCGCCATGGGATACTATGTTATCTGCTGACATTTTGCAGGAATCAGATAAACACAGACTTGTCTTCCTGGATTTTTGACTAACATTTCCAGGAGATGTGGCAGTGAAAAGATGAGGATATTAATGTGTGAAATGGTCCTGAGTTAGCATGATGCTTTCTATTTTCCAAAGGCATCATTGGAGGAGAGTGGATGTGGGTGGTGAAAGGAGCTTTCTAGTAGCTTAACAATACAGAGGTAAAGAAAAACTTCTCCCAGATTCTGGTTCTGGTTCAAGTGGTCTTTTTGCTTCTTTAATAATTCAGTTTGCAGTTTTTGGCTGAGAGCCTATATCAAGGTTGTGCAGCTTAAGTTTCTGCATAAGGAGCTACTCATGTGTTTAATGGCAACATTGCACAACTGAACCAACACACCAAATGTACAATTGAACACACAGCCAAATGCACATGACCTCATGGGCAGTTTGTGTCCATGTGCATTTTGTGTGCAACCCTGCTTCTGCAGCCTGTGAATGAATGCAGATGAATGCAGATGCACATGGAACAGAAAGCTCCAGCCATCTCTATGCACACATGTAAGACAAAGAAGAGCCAGCATGGTGTATTGGTTTAAATGCTGGATTATGACTCTAGAGATCAGGGTCCGATTCCCTGCTTGAGCATAAAAACCATTGGGTGACCTTGAGCAACTCACACGCTCTCAGCCTCATAGGATGACAATAGTAAACCCACTTTGAAGAAACTTGCTAAGAAAACCCTACAATAGGTTTGCCTTAGGGTCGCCATAAGTCAAAAATGACTTGGAGGCACACAACAACATCATCAACAACAACACAGACAGGGTTCCAAATTTTGCACATTGACCAATAAGTAGAACTAGTTTGTCTCAAGGGACTCTGCATGGGCTAGCTCCACAAGCAGCTTTGAACTGAGCTGTGCCTTTGCTAAAGGAGGACTGGTGGAGTTTAGTGGCTGTGATGTGGAACCCAACTGAGATGAATTTGATTAAAAATGCAAGATTTACAGGAGTCAATGTGATCCATTGACTGATTTAGGTGGAAAGCCCAAGTCCTCATGAAGGCTGTTGAGTGTGATGAGGAACAGATCACCTGCAGGAAAATCCAGGATGCTTGAAGCTGGGCACCAGGCTGGTGCCAGCGTGGATCTTGGCAGCGAGGCCTTGCAATAATGCGGCTGATGATCCGTAAGTGGCTGGCTATTGATGAGGTGTCCGGCTAAAGAGTCAGTAAGACACTAAATCAGCCCCATTGATCCAAGCGAGATCGATGGGGCTACAGACCTGATCAGTGCAATGGGCAATTAACAACTGCTGGAATGAGCTGCCTTCATGTAACATCAAATGCTTCAACAGACAAATCCAATCGGCACATTGATTCAGCCCTTCCTCTTGCTGTGACAAGGTGTGCGCCTGTGTGTATGTCTATAGGTATGTACGTAGGTGCCATGTGTACATCCAGGAAGAAAATTCCAGAGTTGGGAATGCCATGGACACATTGGCACATAGAGGGCACCCATTCATAGCTCTGTCTGTAGGGGTCTGTTTCAATGGGTGGCCCTGATGAGTGTATATATAATTGGTACTATTAAATCAGAAGGTCAATTTTTTTGGGGGGGGGGAGGAGGAATGCTCCCTTCTGTGGCTGATTTTAGGAAAGGGCTCATCCATCTTGCTTTGGGTAGGCTCTCTTTGTTTTTTATTATTAGATAGATAGAACCACCTGATATTAAGAGCTGTTTGACTATGCCAGGGGTAGGCAACCTTTCCCCTTTAAGGGCTGAGGGACTTCAGCTCCCAGAAACCTCAGCCATGTTGGCCAATAGTCCCATGTTGGCCAATAGCTCCTGGGATTCTGGGAGCTGAAGTCCCTCGGCCCTTAAAGGGGAAAGGTTGCCTACCCCTGGACTATGCCATTATTATATAAGGGACAGCCAACTTGGTCTAAGTGATGGGTTTCTTGAATAACTCTGGAATGTAGTTGGTCCATTCTAGTTGAATTTTGGGAATCAGGCTGTATCTATCAGTTGCTCACTAAAGCCTATTCCCACTTTAAATGCTCTTTTAGTTTTTTGGAATAGCTGCCTTGGGTTTTGTATCAATAGAAAGGCAAGATATCGATCGATCAATCAATCACCTGTATATATCCAGACTCCCTGTGCAGAGCAACCTAAAGGACAGCTAACTCATTCATCTTGGGATATAAAAAAAAAACACCATCCAGCAATACCCCAAATATCTGTAATCATGTAGAGGATGGAGGAAGTTTGCTTTCTGCTGCTCCAGAGGATGAGTATGACTCACAAGAAAGAAGATTCTGATTAAACATTAGGATGAAACTCCTAATGGTAAAAGCTCTTCAAAAGTGGAATAGACTGCCTTAGTGGGTGGTGGACTCTCTTTCACTGGATGTTTCAAAACCGAGGTTGGATAGCCACCTCTCAGGAATGTGTAACTATGGGCTCTTGTACTGGAAGGGACTTTATCTAGATGACCCTTGGAATCTCTTCCTGCTTTCTAAAGCTCTGAAACTGCATACAGATGTTGATGCCTTTGTCTTGCATATGGTTTCAGTTCTTGCAAAGCAGTAGGCTTGTTTTGTTCAAGGATGATTTCATGAAGAGCTCCAGCTGAGATATATGGCTTATCTCAGTTCAAACTTGCTTCTTTTTCTCAGCTTCACCTTGCCTCTGTGCACCATAAAACCTCAATTCCATCTTAGGGGAGATACTAGAAAAACCTAGCCAATGCAAGAAGGAATCCTGGATTTTCTTGCTTTCACAGGTAGCGTTGTGAGCATTGATAACACTCCCAATCATTTGGACAAATTAATAAAGAGAACCTACCCAAAGCAAGATGGATGCACCTTTTCTAAAATCAGCTGCAGAAAGGAGCATCCCTCCCCTTTGAGCTACAGGTTCCAGAATTCCCCAAGCTAGGAGAGGATCTTTAAAAAGTAATTTTCCAGGCTCTGGTCAACAGATATCCTTGCTTTTGGTCTAGAGACTACTAGACTGAGCAGTTCATTGGTGAGATAGAAGCAAGGATAGACCTGCTCAAGGGGAGAACTTCAAGGATGACACTTTGCCCCTAAATCCAGCCCAAATGCCAGGAGCCAACTCTGTTCTTGCAAAGAAAGAAGATGAATGTGAGTGAATGGCTCCTCTTGCAAGGTTTGGATGTGAACCCAGCTTGTCCACATGATGGCGGTGTAGCCCATTGATTTCCTGGCATGTAAAGACTGAGAATAGACTATGCATCTTCCACAATGAATGCAACATCATGCACCTCCTCACCTCTCCCCACTTTACACACACACAAGGAAAGGAAAGGTGCAAAGCTGGGAAGAAAGACCCAGTGTGGTATAGTAGCTTAGGTGTTGGACTATGACTCTGGAGACCAGGGTTGGAATCTCTGCTTGGCCATGCCAACCCATAGGGTGGCCTTGGTCAAGTCACACTCTCTCAGCCTCAAGGGAAAGCAATGGCAACCCCACTCTGAACAAACCTTGCCAAGAAAACCCCATCTAATCAGGCTTTTAGGAATTGACTGTGATGGGCTTCTAATAACATTCAGCTTTGTTGATTTTTTTAATAATACTTAGTTTTATTAATTTTAACACGAAGAATCAAATTTACAGTCAAAGTAATATACTTCCAGAAAAGAAAGAAAAAGAAAAGAAAAGAAAGTAAGTAAGAAAGAAAAAAGAAGACAAATAACTAATACATAACAGGTCTCTGACCCCAACTGAAGAAGAGGAAGAACAAGGAGAAGGGCAAAGAAGGAGGAGGAAAGAAGATCAGGAAGGAGAAGAAGGAGAAGGAAGAGGACAGGAAGGAGGAGGAGGAGAAGAGGAAGAAAAAAGGGAGATTAGGAGAAGGAAGAAGGAAGAAGGAAGAAGGAGGAGAAGAAGGGGAGCAGGAGGACAAAGAAGAGGAAGGGGAAGGAGAAAGGAGGAGGAGGACTAGGAGGGGAAGGAGATCAGGACAGGAAGAAAAAGGAGGAAGAGGACTGAAAGCAAGAGGAAGAAGAGGAAGGAGGAAGAAAGAAGTGAGATTAGGAGAAGAAGGAGAGGAGGAAGAGAAGGGGACAGGAAGTAGGAGGAAGAGGAGGAAGAGGAAGAAAAAAGGGAGATTGGAAGAAGGAGAGGAAGAAGAGGAAGGGGAAGGGGAAGAAGGAGGAGGAGGAAGAGGACAAGAAGGAGGAGGAAGAAGAGGAAGCGAGAGGAGAAAAGGGAGATTAGGAAAAGGAAGAAAGAGAAATAGAGGGAGGAGGAAGAAGAAGAGGAAGGAGAAGAAGAAGAACCTAGGAAGCTTCCCCCTGCTTTAGCTCTCATCCCTGCCATCCCTCCACATTGAGCTCCCAAGTGGAAGAGCGTACAGTCGGCAAAGAGAGAGAGGCCTCCCAGCCTTGCTGTTAATGTAGTCAGTAAATAAATAAAGGAGGGCTTAAGCTTAGTGTACAGCAATCAGTTTAGAACTACAGGATAATTAACCCAGCAGGGGGTTGGAGCAGCCTATAGTCAGGTTTCAATGAAGGAGTTCACTTTCATTGAGGCAAACTTGCTCAGCTCCCCGGGGAGCATAAAAAGGAAAAATGAAGTACCCAAGAGAAGTTGGCAAAAGGCCTCAAGGGGAGGCACGCGTGTTGGGGGAACGGAAGGGCGGAAGGACCACCGAACCACCTCTTTCGTCTCTTGGACCCAGAAGGGTTCTTCTTTGGGTTGGAGTCCTCTCCAAAGGAGGCCCTGCTTCATCCAAAGCAGTGTGTGAACTCCTGCACTCCTTGTGTTTCCGGGTGGTTTGCACACCCTTTAAAATGCAATTGCCCAGCTAACCTTTGCCAAGATCCAACAGAGATATTATTGAGCATAAAGTTACGCTGGCGTAGCTGTGCCATTGATACACACGAGGCATACAGGAGGAGTCTGAAATCCAAAATACTCCAAAATCCAAAATTGTCTACATGGGATCAATGTACACAAACATTGATTTATGCACAAAATTACACTTAGCTCTCCATATCCACAGATTCTTTATCCATGGTTTTAAGCATCTATGGCTTGGCAATATTAAAAAAAGATACAAATTAAAAAAAGAAAGCAAATATCCATTTTGCTATTTTATATAGGGGATGCCATTTTACTATGCCACTGTATATAATAGGACTTGAGTATCCATGGATTTTGGTTCTGGAACCAAACCCCAGCAGATACCAAGGGCTCATTGTATTAAAAATATTGTATAGCGGTCCCTCCATGTTTGCTGGAGTTAGGAGTGCAGGACCCCTGTGAAAGTGAGAAAACTGCAAAAAAGAAAACACTATATTTTTACCTGAGAGGAACACCTCTCTAGGAATCTCTAGGTCCTCCAGTGCAACTCTATGGTCAACATCTTCCAGAAGTTGACCATAGAATTGCTCTGGATGACCAACAAGTGCCTAGAGAAGTGTTCTCTCTAGGAATCTGTAGGTCCTCCAGCGCAGTTTCTGGTAGATGTTGACCACAGAGTTACACTGGAGGACCTAGAGATTCCTAGAGAGAAGATATTAATCAAATCCATAATAATCAAAGTTGCAAATATGTAGGGCTGACTGTATTCAATTACCTCCAGGTTTGGTGTATAAGGTGTATATGAAACATAAATGAATGTTGTGTTTAGACTTGGCTCCTGTCTCCAAGATATCTCATTATGGACATATATGTAAACACAGGTATTCCAAAATCCTAAATAAATAAATCCAAAAAGCTTCTGGTCTGTAGCATTTCGGATAAGGGAGACTCAACTTGAGATAAAACCATTTGGTGACCAACAAAATAAGGAGCAACTTCCCAAACTGAGGACCTCATGGGATGCTCCATGCAACAGGAGGCCATGTTTCCAACATCTTTTGGTGTTGGGATCTACAACGTCTTCTGGTGTTGGGATCTACAACATCTTCTGGTGTTGTGATTGATGTCTTCTGGTGTTGTGATCGACAACATCTTCTGGTATTGTGATCAACAACTTCTTCTGATGTTTGGATCTACAACGTCTTCTGGTGTTGGGATCTACAACATCTTCTGGTGTTGTGATTGATGTCTTCTGGTGTTGTGATCGACAACATCTTCTGGTATTGTGATCAACAATTTCTGGTGTTGTGATCAACAACATCTTCTAGTGTTGGGACCTACAACATCTTCTGATGTTGGGATCTACAATGTTTTCTGGTGTGTGGACCCATCAATCCCACTCTTGGGAAGGTTCAGCCTTGTTCCCTTCCGCCATTGAGATGCCATTCTGGGACAGCAGAGGCAGCTGAAGCTTTCTGTACGAATACAGGATTTCGCGGGACTACAAAGCATCTTGGCATTCACATTGTCAGGTTCTCCTTTCTATCCATTAGATCATATCTGGGTCAAAGAGCACAGAAGCCGGGGAAAGCCCCCCTGCCATAGAAGGCCCATTCAAACCCAGCCTCTATTCAGTGGCTTCTTCTCCCCCTCTGAGCCCCACGGCCAGGAACACGTGATCCTCCCCCTTCATGGTGATCCCTTTCCCACCCCCAAGCCTAAGCCCTTACCTTTTGATGTCCAGGAGCAGAAAACAGCAATTAAATGTTGTTTTTGAGATTATACTCTAAAGTTAGCTTGGATGGAAAAAGCATTCACGCAGGGAACAGTTTGGCCAAAGCGACAGGTTGGGTTGGGCTGGTTGGGAAGAGAGGAAGGGGAGGCAGGAATTTAAAAATACAAGGACTTTGTCCAGAAGTTTGAGTGAGTTTGTTTGGAGGGATATTTGTCTTGCAAAGCAAGTGGAAGCAGGAGACAACAGCAGTTCTTGGAACTACAGGACTTAGGAAGGATGCACAATGCTGTGCAGGTTTATTTGGAAATATGTTTGGCGACCAAACTTCAGAGTTAGAAGAGCTGCCTTAGAAAACTAGCAGGGAGCTTCACTGCAGGGCAGGTGGGGGGGGGAAATTGGGATAAAACTGTAAGACTTTTTCAGAAGGTATGTTTTGCATGAGAAGATCCAGCATGGTTTGACTGCTGGACCAGGATTCCAGGGATCCATCTATATACACTGTAGAAATGATGCAGTTTGACACCACTTTAAGAAAGCCAGTGTAGTGGAGTGGTTTGAGTGTTGGACTAGGGCTCTGGAGATACTCAGCCATGAAAACCCATGGGGTGACCTTCAGCAAATCACACTCTCTCAGCCTCAGAGGATGGCAATGGCAAACCCTCTCTGAAGAAGCTTGCCAAGGAACCCTATGATAGGTTCGCCTTAGGGTTGCCACAAGTAAAAAATGACTTGGAGGCACACAACAACTAAGTGCTGTAGCCCCGTCCTATGGAGTGTAACACTACTGGGATCTGTAGTGTTACAAGGTCTTTCACCTTCTTTGCCAAAGAGTGCTGGTGCCTCACAAAACTACAAATCCCCGAATTCCGTAGGACAGAGCCATGGTAGTTAAAGTGGTGTCAAACTGCATTATTTCTACAATGTAGATGCACCCCAGGAAACCATGGTTTATGGCATGGAAATACCCCAGTTGACCTAGAGCAAGATTCACTCTTTCAGTCTCAGAGGAAAACTGTAGGAAACCTGCCCTGAAGAAGTCTTGCCAAGAAAACCCTCTGTTTACTTCAGGGTTACCATAAGTTAGAAATGATTTGAAGGTACATAACAAGAAGACCAAAGACTTGGTGGTTTTATCAAAGGCCTGTCATTGCTTCTGTCATTCAGAGAGTTCAGTGGGTCTTACTCCTAATAATCATAGAATCATAAAATATTAGAATTGGAAGGGACCCCAAAGGTCTAAACCTCTGCTGAGATCCTATATCCTACCTATGTAGACTTAATCTATATTTATGTGGTTAAGCAGCATTTGTGCTACATAACCCTTCTGATAGACACCAACATTGTGCATCTGACTGTGAATCTGTGGATGTGATTTCTGTTTTCACAACCCCAGCAAATCAAATGGTACACTAAAGCCACGGATGGGATGCACAATTGCATCAGTTATATTTGTAGGACACAATTTACGAAACTTTGAACTGAATATGGACATTCCGTTTTAGCATGGCCAGAAAAATACATGGTGACCACATTACACCAATATTAAAATTGCTCCACTGGGTGTCAATTTGTTTCTGGGCAAAGTGCAATGTGTTGGTGATTGCCTTTAAAGCCTTCCATGGTTCAGGTCCAGATTATCTACAGGATCACCTGCCTACAAGATCATCTCCTGTATTGTCTCCTCTGTACCTTCAGGTCCTCTGGTAGACATCTTTTTTTGTTCTTCCAGTGCAGTTCTATGGTCAACTTCTGCCAGATGTTAGCCATGGATTTGTGCTGGAGGACTTAAGAGATTCCTAGAGAAACTATTTCTCTAGGCATTTGTAGGTCTTCCAGTGAAGTTCTATGGTCAATGTCTGCCAGATGTTGGCTATAGAATTGTTGGAGGACCTAGAGATTCCTAGAGAGGTGTTCTCTCAGGTAAAAATAAAGAGTAGTTTTTTGTTATTTCTGTTCTTTTCATATTTATAAAGGTTCATGGAGACATAGCTGTTGTCACAAGAGAGACTCCAAAGAACATCAGTTAATTTCTTCCGCACTACGGATCTCTCCATTTCAGCCACAGAAAGCCACACGAAAGAAAGAAACAGGACACCGGGGCATCAACGACTCAATTAACTTTATTCATTTTTTTTTTCTAACTGCAGATTCAAGGTATACAACTGAACAATTGCTATTTTCCTTATGAGACTTATAAATAAAAATACAAAAAATGTCGACTACAAAAAAATCTACCGTTAGTAGGATGTAAAAAATATTCTCTTTGCTATAGAAGGCACAAACTTCACTTAGTGACAAATGGAGAGAAAAAAAACCTGCAGCAGTAAATTCTTTCTTTTCTTTTCTTTTCTTTTTTTTCTTTTCTTTTCTTTCTTTCTTTTATTAATTTTTTTTTAAAAAAACTTTTCTCTATTTTTTTTTCTCGCCAGAAACACTGAAAAGTTTACAAACAACTGCACCTTTGCACCTTACATAGAACAGATGCAGAGGTGGAGAACAGCAACTAGAAGAGGACGTCACAACTTTTTTGGGAGGGTCAGGAGGGTGGGAAATATGATCAAGGGTGTGTGTATGTGTGTGTTTGTGTGTTTGTGTGTTTTATCATTAAGCTAACTGCATCTGTGATTCTAGAGGGACACATAACAGGACTCACAAGCTGCACGGCAAAGGAAAAAACCAGAGAAGTATATATATATATATTTTGTACAGGAAGAGAAAGACATCATGAAGAACCTGAAAATTAAAAATAATTATAATTATAATAATAATAACAACATAATTTTAAAAGAACAGGCACCTTCTAAAATTAGGCTAACAGGAGGTGCTGAGGTAGACTGAGCCAGGACAGCAATTAAAAACACTTATTTTTTAAAATCTTTCCCCCCCTTTTTTTTCTTTGTAATAATACATAGCGATCCAACTGGCACTTGTCCTGTCGCAATGTTGAAAAGAGAAAAGCGAAAACAAAATATTTAAAAACAAAACAAAACAAAAAAAACCCCCAAAATTAATAATAAGCTTTTCGATTTGCTTGGTCCAGAGAAGGACAAAAAAATTGGTCCTCAGTGCTATCATATATATCTCTCTATATTTATATATTTATTTATTTATAGGAACATAAAATGTCGTGAAGACTTTGCATGGCTTCTCAGCCTCAAAGAAAGGTCATGCATACTTCTTGAACAGCAGGTAAAACAAAGGACAGGACACCCACGCCAATATGAATGGGTCTTCTGGGGCTGGAGGATGCCATGGTAGACAGTCAACAAGGATGTTCCCTCAAGGTTTTGAGGTCCAAGGGGTGGGAAAAATGATCTCTGGTTGTCATTTTCCTCCCCTGGCCCACAATGCCATCTCCTTTGTGGTGGGACGTGTAGATGAGTTGTGTGCCTTCAAGTCATTCCCAACTTAGGGCAACCCTAAGGCCAACCTATCATGGGGTTTTCTTGGCAAGGTTTGTTCAGAGGAGGTTTTCTATGGAGGCTGAGAGAGTGTGACTTGCCCAAGGTCACCCAATGGGTTTCCATGGCCGAGCGGGAATCGAACCCTGGTCTCCAGAGTCCAACACTCTAACCACTATGCCACACTGGCTCTTATGGCACAGAATTAATTTGCTCTAGGTTCAACCCCTCCTTTTTGGTTGGCAACTCCCAGAATCCCCTGGATTTTGTCATCCCAAAAAGCCACAGCTGGTATCCTGTTGGTGAATTATGATACAACTTGGACTTAAATCTTCATAACTCATTTTTTTGCTCACCTCAGAGGTCTGAATTCACTACCAGCTGCACAATGACCCAATTCCCCCCAAACCCTCCTTTTCTCAGCCAAACTTGAGCATTGTCTAGTTCAGTGTTTCCAAAACTTTGTTCCTCTAGATTTTTTGGACTTCAGCTCCCAGAATTCCTCATTGTTGGCTCAAATGGCTGGGCCAGGACTTCTAGGAACTGAAGTCCAAAACATCCAGAGGACCAAAGTTTGGGAAGCACTGGTCCAGTTGATGGACAATGGAGGGGAGCAGCAGATGCGCATCTGGCTATTCTCCTATAGTTTTCTCCAAAGCAATGGCATTATCTGTAGGAATCCCAGACCTTTGCTGTCTTTCTGGCTTAAGAAGATACCTGGATGCTTACCGAATCTTCTCCTTTTATCCATAGACCAAGATGTGGTTGAGTTTCAGAGGCAGCAGTGAGGAAAGGTGGGTTTGGATGGGAGACTGTCCTAGCTGCATCTTGCACCTACCTCTTCTGGTGCAGGATTGTGGCCCATGTTTCCAAGTGGAACAGAAGATGAATTTAAGGATACTATTCTGTGGGTGTCCTACTACACAAGTGGGTGCTCTGGGCATGGGGAGAGAAGGTGGACAAAATCCAGCCTATTTCTTCCAAACTGCCTGGCTGTTCATGGCTGTGGCACCCACAACTGTCTCGCCCTGCACCTCCCTCACAGATTGTCATAGCTACCCCACAGAAGAATATCAATACAAGTCCAGCCTCAGAAAGAATGGGGAGAATAATAAGGTTTGGCAAAGGAATGGAAAAGTTGGTTAACAACCTTTCCCGTTCTTTGTGCTCTTTCAGCATGCATCTTCCCTTCTGTCTCTCATAACTGCAAATAGAGGAATATTCAGGGGCTCTTCCAGACTTCCCAGTTGATGGCACTATGATTTCCACTTTAACTGAGATGGTTGCATCCTGCAGAATGCTGGGATTTGCAGTTTGGAGAGGTGTTAGTGCTCTCAGGCTGAGAATACTAAAAATCCTGTCCTAAATTGCAAATCTGGGGCTCCAGTAGGCAGTTAAAGTGGAATGATAGCGCTACAAATGCTGTGATTCCATATCTCTTGCTCTAAAAGGGCTCAAGGTTATAAGATCTGTAGGAAACCAGAGGATCTGAACTGGATGGGTGGGACACTGGAAGGCAGATTTTACCTTTGCAAATGAATGAATAATGTAGTGTACCATGACATCCTTCAGCTAGGAAGCCCAACCTATTCCACCATGGTACCAATGAATCGAGTAAGCACTATAACATTTTTTTCTCCCTCTTTCAAATATAAAAAAGAAAAACCCACAAATGCACACACACTTCCTCCCTATTTTATTTTCAGGCACAAAGCTTACAACAAACCTTTTCCCCAAGTTGTGTTGAGGATTGTAATAAAAGAGTGCCTGTTTCACTTCCTACCACAAAGCGACAAAAGGAAAAAGTTACACTTCTCTCTCTCTTTCATTCTCTCTTGCAAAGACACACATAAACCCACACTTCCACATGTATGTATACAACACATCTTAATACTTTTTCTTCTGTTTCTGAAGTTTATTCCCAAAACAACAATCACAGTCATCCAGGAATATAATATATACTCAAAAAGGGATCCTGGGCAGAGAAATAAAGGTCTGTGGATTTGCACATGGACTAAATCTGACTATCATCCTGTATGGAATTTGTACCACGAACGGTGCTCAAAATAGTGGTGTAAAAACTGGGTGTTGATTTGTGTGGGCCTAACACAGTGGTTCCCAAACTTTGGTCCTCCATGTGTTTTGGACTTCAATTCCCAAAAGTCCCAGCCAGCTTGGCCAACAGTTAGGAATTCTGGGACCTCAAATCTCAAATATCTAGCGGACTAAAGTTTAGGAACCACTGGCCTAATGGAACAAAATGGAGAGGCAACCGCTCAAGTTTTTAAGTTTCTCAATGCTACTCTGGAGGGGGTTATGCTTCTTCTCCACTTCATGCACACCCCTTGTTTAAAGTCTAGTTTGTGCAACCACAACGTTGTGTTCAAGCCGTGCACTCCTTCAACTTGTTCACCGGTCAGACCGTCAGCGATCACATGCAATGTCACCTGTCTTTGCTTCATCAACATTCATGATGTGGTGAAAGGAGATTTCTTTCTAGCACCCCCCTAAAAATAAAAACACCCCCCAGACTGAAGGAGAATGACACCCTTCAGCTGCAGTTGCACTGACAATGTCGACACACAACTCCAGAAGGAATGTCCCAAATGTAGAGTTGACTCGCCGAAAATTACAAGTGCTGTCCCTCTCAACTCCTACCAACAGGAAAGCTCACATGCATTAACCAACAGATTTCTGTGCTTTGTACCAACCAATGTGGCAACACTGGATTGTGACAATACTGCATGATTTATTTAATACTGTCTCTCTCTCTCTCTTTCTTACACACACATATGCACACACAAGCACACACAGAGATTCCCATCCACATTACAAAAGGCAAGGAAAAGGGACAACATCTTGCCAAAAGCCAACACAGGGAAGGCTAACAAAAGTTACAAAAATATTACACTTTGCAAATAATTTATCAGTCCAACACTTTGCACTTGGTGGATGGGTTGGGGAAGAGTTAAGGAGAAAAGACAGCAAGGGAAGGGAGGATCCTCCAATGAGAAACCATGATTTTTTTTATAAAACAAACAAACAAACAAACAACAACAAACCCCACCAACATTTGGGAGCACAAGATGTGACCCTAAGGCCTGCTCTGGACAATGGGACATTGGTACGTTTACTGCATATCTCTCTTTCTGCCTTAAATGACAACCTTTTTTTCTTCTTCACATTATAAACAAAACTCTACTTTGCTATTCGTATATTCAAGTTTCACTGTTTTTCTTTCCTTTTCTTCCTTTTCTTTTACCAAATTTCTATTCCCGCACCCCACTAAAAACTCTCTCAATGGTTATAGGGACATCTTCTTCCCTCCTCTTCTTCCCACCCCA